AATGTCTAAATATCATTTCAATAACTTAAAAAGTTCACTTTTGTGTATGGAAACCGCACTATAGTGCAATGGGTTTGTGCAGCAGAATTTTATGGTTTAAGTTTAAAATCTAGGAAGCTAATTCTAATAGAAGATTATAGCAGTCAAATATGTGTATTGTTTAGCATTTAATTACACTTTTTTTTTATTAATACATTACATATTTATTCAGCATTGGGGAAAGTTACTTTAGAAAGTAATGCATGAGTTACTCCCCAAATAAGTAACTAGTTGCGCTATAGAATACTGTTATCTTCGGAGAACTTACTGACCCCAGAGCTCTACATGCCGTATACATACATGTTGCAAACTATTTATGTGGGCTGCATTTAAACATATTTAGTAACGTTCAACTTAATATGTTGTTTAAATTCAGCCCATATAAATTGTACTTACCTTAAACTATTTTCTGTAAATCCAATTAATTTTTTAGGACATGTTTCTGTAGTTCGAATGAAGATCAAAATCATTTTGTCGTTGTGTTGTGCAGTGTTGTTGTTAAAGGGAATCGGTACACACTCGTAAAATGCATGCAGATTGTGACCGTGAAGCAATCGGGAAGCCCCCGACTGCCAGAGACGCAGATAAAAACTTCAGGATGGAACACAGACCATGAGCTCTGTCGTTCCCTGCCCCCACGCGCACCTCATCCTGCTCTCTCTCTCTCTCTCCGTGTCTCTCGGCACATTGCTGTTTGATTGCTTAAGCCCGGTGGTCAGACAATGGGCGTATAAAGAATGGGCCGCTTCCTTCCTTCCTGTTGAGTATTCTGCCTTGATGAGCAGACTGAATAGATCTGGGCTTCAGAACGGGGCATGAGCGCCGGGGCCCAGCTAAAACCAACAAAGAGACGCTCTGGGGGCTTTTCCAATTGCTGCTCTGCTGCCTAGTCTCCCTCTCTCTCTCTTTCCTTCTTTCTCTGCACAAATGCTTAATGGGGTGACCTTCTGGAGCTGAGGGGTAGTTAATCAATAATATGATATTTTCGCATTTGATTCTGGAGCATTCAATGGAATATTTAAGCAAATTTGAGCAAAATTTAAATAACTTATTGTTTTAAAAAAATTAAAATGTTTTGTTTTATACATCTTTCTCAAAATATAATTTGTTCATAATCATGCACTGAATTTTGACAGCTTATTAATTGTTATATTGCTTATATACTTATAATGTTACCAACAACCCTGCTTTTATTAAACGAAGTGCTCGGAAATATATTTTCAAATTACATGTTCATGTTGTATTCCCAGCACTTCCACATGGGGCGCTATTGTCTACATTGGCATAAAATTTCTCTTTCGGATCAGTTCCTATAATGGCTGAATAACGTTATAATTTTTTTCTAAAAATATAAATTGTTCATTATGATGCACCAAATTTTGACAGCTTATTAATTGTTATATTGCCTTAAAAGCAAAATTAGATTTGATCGTTACTTATAAAGCTGCGGTCACGCTGCACTTTTCTCCCCATAGACTTCCATTCATACGCACGTGAATGCGTCAGACCTGAAATGCAAGCTTGTGTGACAAGTTCAAGCTTGGTGAACTCTGACCTGCAAAATCCCATAACTTGACTGTGTGAGACCAATCGAGGAGCAAAACATGACCTCTTTGGACAGAAATTTAAAAATGGACCAATCGCTTGCTTTTTTAAATGTCTAATTATTTTGTTTGATCCCGCACCTTTTTCGCAGTGCCGTAATGCAGAATTTCCGATGCACAAACTCTAGTTTGACCTCAGCTTTATGCGTTACCCGCAACACTGCTTTTATTTAACAAAACAGTCTGAAATATATTGTCAAATAACATGTTTATGTTGTATTCCCAGTGCTGCCACATGGGGCACTATAGTCTACATTGGTATAAATGTTTTTGACATCAAATTTATCTATCGGATCAATTCCTATAAAGGCTGAATAACGTTATAATTTTTTTCTCAAAATATAAATTGTTCATTATGATGCGCCAAATTTTGACAGCTTATTATTGTTTTATTGGTTCAAAAGCAAAAATAGATTTGATCATTCTTCTACCCGTATGTCAAGCAAATTATGAATGTGGATTTAGGCTTCATAAATGGAAATTGCATGTTTCGAAAGTTAAAACCAGCTTGCCCTGAATAAAATATGTAAATGGGTTTTTCTTTTGCCTTTATTTTTTTTTTTTTGGGGGGGGGGGGTGAACTAATATTCATTTAATCAGTATAACAGTCATAATTTTTTTTTTTTAATTGTGCAGTGGATCTCGTATTGAATGATTTTGTGGATGCTATTTGGATGTTATTTAAGCTAACCTCTCTATAACACTGTAAAATTGTGAACGTCATCTTCCAATGTTACCTCCAAATGTACTGTTTTGACCTTTTTTTGACAAAATTAAAATGTTTGCATATGTAAAAACTAATTTTGTTTTATTATTTCCAAAATATTGCAAATATTTAAGTTCAATTTTAGGATATGACTTTGTTTCAGTGCTTCTTTTTACATTAAAATGTTCAAAACATAGCTTGCATTACCCATGTGCATGTTGTGTTGCCAGCGCTGCCACATGGGGCGCTATAGTCTACATTGGCATAAACAATGTCATCTTCCATTGTTACCTCCAAAATGTGCTGTTTCTAGCTTTTTCACAAAATTGAAATGTTTGAACATGTAAAAAACAATTATAATAAAACATAATTTATTTAATGGAGATATTGAAGTTCGACTGCATCTAAAAAGGTTATTTTAAGTTTAAGTGCTTCTATTTGAATTGAATTTTCAAACATCGCCTGTATTGTTTTGCACTGTTACACCTCATAACCCAACTTTTAGTCCTGTGGTTAGCAGTCATTTGCTTGTGTAGCTCGTCCTCATCGATGCTGTTAAATTTAGAGCGAGGATGAAAGTAATCTATACCCTTTCAAAGCATACCAAACATCAATAAACGGGTACATAACGTCTTAGACGACGAATGAAGCGACTTCCCTTTGTTCTAATCCCTTCCTATTGACGATAACTAGACGTTCCGGCCTGGCTGAGCACTTAATACTAGTGTTAATTTTGGGGACAAAGTAAGTTCCGTTCCGTCTGTTGTCTGTTTATTGAGGTCAACCCTCCCAGCCTTTATCTGACCCATTTCTCTTCTCATTGGAGAAATCTATATTTCTCCATTTCTCTTCAACTTGGCATGCGATTGCAGCTCTTTCAAAAGGGTGTCATTTTTCCCCATCTATCCTTCTTTTGTGCTGCCTGCACCCATAACAACACATTTAGCGGCTGCTAAACACTCGCACGCAAAGTAGGAAACATGCGCGTGCGTGCTGTCACACACACACACACACACACTCAAAGCCTGCCCTGCGAGAATACCAAGCAGGTAGTTGAAGAGGCTTAAGAGGCAGTGAAATAACTGAGGGCCATTGAAAGGATGGTGAATACACAAGGGTTCGAATGTGGGGGTAAACTGTTGGCCCATTGTCATTTAAAGTAATGTCTTTAACCCTTTGCAGGGCTTTCTTGAGCAAACCAACCCCCCTGTCTCTGCCCTGCCATTCACAGCTTAAAACAATGAGAGGGAGGCAAGCCGGAAAACGACGCACTCGAGCGATCGGGACGGTTTTGTTTTTCCACCTTGTGCCGCGTAAATGAAAAAGGAGGCACATCCCTAGTAAGGGGTGAAAGCTGGCTGCCTGTCACTCAAACCCTCGGCAAAATAACAAACATGCGCCAACGTGCTGAACCAACAGTGCGAATGCCAGTAGCGCATAGCATGTCACAGGGGAGAAAATGGGAAAAGGCACTGTTACGTTAGGACTGTACAAAAAGTGGCGACATGAAGCTCTTAAGATAGACTCCAAGAAAACCAAAACAGCAACATCGATGTCATGAACTTGACAGTTTTAGATTAGAAGAACATACCCAACTAATGCGATGTACCCCAAAAGTGTGTTGAAGTACTGTGTTTTTGAAGTTGGTGCAAATTCCTATGTATTTACATTGATTTTACAAACACAAATGCAGCTACCGCTGATGTTTTAGCCATCAAAGTTCCCTCTCAAGTGTGTATTAATACTGAAAGATTGCACTATACAATGCAGCGAGTATCTAGCGAGCAAGACCTTCCTCAAAAGCAGAATTGATAAAGCCTCTTGCGTATGCCATATCTACCCTTAATATTCCCACAGGGCAGTTTCCATAACACAGGCAAGGATTGGAGGGAGCGCAGCAAACAACGGCTTGCCAACAGAAACAATCTCTGATCCTCCTGATGTCAACTAGTGGTTCACATACTTCAATGATTAAACCAGTGCCAGATGTTTCCCATGGAAGTAAATACAGCCAGTATCCGCTGCTGGCAGGGGAGGCTGGAAGTTACCCCTGAAGGTCTGGCTCAAGATCAGGGCTTCTTTGTAAGGGAACCGGGCTTGATCTTGATCTGAGATCAGATTGTTTGGGTGGTTTTTATCAGACTGGCCGTTTGGAGTTCCATGCATTGGTGCTAATTTATCAGTTATCGTGACGTTTAATCTGCATGCATGGCTGTCTTAATTCTGTGTGACTATCTGTAGAGTTTCCTGCTCAGCAGAACAACACAAACGGCTACAATTTTCCAGTGGAGATTAGACCCGCGAAGGGTCACAGCTAGAGATCACTCACGAAATAGCAGTCAACACCGAACAATATTCAGTGTTGCTATAATAAACTTTGATCTCTTTCGTGCATCAATATCTCATCGATAGGATCTCTCGCTTTTTTTGACGATTTGCCAGCGCACACTATCGCTTTCATCGCCTTCTTTTCTGATGACCTCGAAACTGAAGCTAGGCGAACATCACTGCTGTCATCATAAACGCAAAGTGAAATGCGACCCTGACAGAAGATCCATCGGGTAAACAAAGGCGATTGAAAACACAGTAGATATTCTGAAACGGGTCTTTGTGCCCAGAGGCTAAAACAAGGTCAACAGCAGGCCAGAAAGAACACAAGAAATGCATTGTTTAATTTCAAAACGTTAATATATTTTCTATTTTATAGTGAACATATGCATCGGATTTGACACCCTTGTCACCCTTTTCTTGCAGCAACAACAGAGGAGGTTTTGTTTCTCAAAGTTGGGGTGATACCTATAAAGATGCCTCTCAAAATAAATATTACTTTATAAAATAATAAAACTTCAAATAAATATTTTTACACTAAACAATGTGTTGAAATTAGAAAATAAAGTTTTTCTTAGGGTCACTGTACAATTTACAAGTATAGTTGTAGGGATAATTCATGTAAGGTTTCTCTTCTAGAAGGCGAAATATCAAAAGAGTGATTGGTGTACGTTCGGGAACGAACGTACAGCACTATACACGTCTTATATATGCATCATATATATGGATCTGTCAAGGTGCCTCTGGTTTGGCACAATGCTTTTCACAGTTGAAATATTATATGTACAAAAATAAAATCTCTCAGAAAAAGAGCTCATTTGCTAATTTACATACTTTCGCAGATACTATTCACAAACAGTTAGTTAGGAGAGTCTGTCACCTTTATCAGTCATATTACTGAATGTCAATAGGGCTAACATTCTGGACTTCAGTTTAAAATGAAAAGAACAGGGAAGGCTGTTGCGACAAACATTACCCCCCTTAAAGAGTGAAAGAAAGAGAGAGAAAGTGGATAAGAGAAAAGCAAAACACAAACAAACAAACAAACAAACCACTTCAAACCAGTTTTTGCCAATCCACTGTCACCTCTTGGTTTACAGTGCCAAAACTACAACAGTTTGCCAATAATTTTCCACTGCTCTGGAGACAGTCCCGGATAAACGTATCTTCCCCTAGTGCTACTCCAGGAACCGAGCAACCTCTATTTCTCAACTCCTTTGTTCTTGCAGCGGCATCCTGGCCGACTGGTGCAGTCGTAGCAGGCCTGGCACAATGCCACGCAGCCCTTTGCCGGGAGGTAGCAAAGCAGGCAGGGCAGGAAAAGTGCCAGGACGCTTATGGCCGACCACCGCATGCAGCAATGCGACTGAGTGCAGGAGAAGGGCTTGTCCGCGCACACATCCTCATCGTCGCTAGAGCAGTGGTAGAACAGGCACTTGACGCAGCAGACGCAAGTCACATAGTCCATCGCGGATGTTGCAGAGCAAACGCACCTGCGGCCGCACATCCAACATGAGGGCAGGGTTCGAGGGCAGGTGCATCCTTCGCACTTGCAGCGGCCGCAGTCCTCGCAGAGAACCGAGTGCTTGCCATCGGGCGCCGGGCCGACAGGTGCTGACAAAGGCTTCAGTTCCTCCTGCTTCTGCTCAGAACGTTTAGGCTGCACCCTTACCACGCGATCACCTGCATTTCCCAAAAGTCTTTGATCCGATGAGGTGCTGCCAGTGCTGGCCCTGGTGGTACTGTGTGAACCATCGCTGGTGCCACTGATGGATCTGCTCACGCCTCCCCTCGGGGCTTGTTGAGGAGTCTGCTGTCCTGCCTGCTGAGCCCTCAGGGAGTTCCTATGCTCGGGCAGCTCAATAGAGCTGGTGGAAGTTGGGCTGGAAGCTTGTGAATCCGTTTTTTGCTCAGAGGCCGGGGGCCGTGGCGCCACCGTCGGGCCCTCCGTGTACTCATTGCTACCACGGATGGTCCTGATCTGATCCAGGGAGAGCACCTGACCATCCCAAGGCTCAGAGTCCCCAGTCTGTGGCCTGCCACTGTCACGCAAAGCTCGCAGCAAGCCAGAGGAGCCGCTGCCGCCATTTTGAGTTCTCGTCTCCATCTTTACTCTGAAGTGGGAACCCTCCGGCTGGCATTGAACACATCTGAAGTCCTATGAGAAAGGCAGACAGTTAAACGAGAGCGTACAGGGAAGTAAAATCCCATAAACTAACCATATGTAAATCATACGGACTAGGCAAAAAGAAAAGGCAGATGGCAAGCTCCTTCATGCAAATCTCCCAACTACTCCCCACCTCTACAGCCCTGGAAGGCTGGTCATCAATGGGGCAGGCCTTTACCACCTGCAGCTATCAAGTTCAGAGATACTAAACCACTTTCGCTCAACAAAATCTCAGGTGTTGCACATTTATTGTATCGCAAAATGAGTAAAATATACCAGTCTGGCTTCTGCTTAAGCATTTTTTCTCGTCTACCCTATATATATGCGTTTGCCATCCCTTATTATTAAAAGTAATGTTTCACATGCTTTTGTTTTGCTTGTGAGAAATTGTATTATGAAACTTATGATTGTGTTATTGAAATATTTTTTTAAATAAATATAAAAAATAAGTCAAATAAAAAATAATAAATAAAAAAGTTATTTACATTACATTTAGATTTATCACTTTAGCTGACTTTTTTCTATGCAAAAAGACAAACTAGAATATCTTTATAATAATAATAATAATAATAATAATAATAATAATAATAACAATAATAATAATAATGTGGTTATATTTTTTATGTAGCTTCATGGTTTGCAATGTTAAACTTAACACACTCATTTATCAACATTTAAGATCGCAGTATAATTTTAAGTTTAAAGGAATAAGCACAAACAACTCAAAATGCTTTGTTTTACAATGCAAGTTATAATTTTAGCAATAAGGATCCAAAGTCATAATAAATAAAGCTTGAAAATGCTCTTTAAAGTACTTATTACACAACAGTACAGGGTGAATAATATCGCCGTTGCTTCTCTTGTGTCACGTGGTAATGTGTATTTAAATACCTCTTAATATCCACTTAATACACATACATAATGTTATTGGTAAGCATATTTAGGAAGTTATTAATTTAATATCCTGCAGCTGGGGTGCGCAAGTGCAATAACGTGACGTCCACAAATGCATTATGACGCTGTCAACGGGGAGGAGGAGTTCTTGACGCAAACTGGCTACTACATACAAAAGAAAATAAAAATAAAATATTCACATGTTATTTGGGTAAAATAAAACCCTAGATCTCAGCCGGGACCCTCAGCACCAGTTGAGTTCAATCTAAATAACACTACCCCAAATTACCATATCAATGCACAATCTCTCTTTCCACGGAGAGGCCCCATCAGAGAAATGTCTGTTAAACATCTGTTTATCTCTCTGCTATTTAAACTTCTGATCTGGGTTATCATGCATACTAACTTTATAACTATTCCCAACTTGATTGAAAGTTGCATAAAGCATAACAACTTTTTTTTTTCTTTGCACCAGCACATTTATTTTTTATTAGTATTAATAAAAAATGTTTAATTGTACAGTTTTAGATTAAAAATGAAGCCTATGATTATAGATGACGTTTATCAATATATATATTTGCAACAGCACACGCATATGTGATCAAGTAAAACATAGTAGCTTTTAATAATAGATAATATGACGTAAATAACACGACATAACTTTTTCCGATTGATATTCGCAACTTAAACTTAATGAAAAGTAAGTCAAAGTATGTACGAAAGGGAACAGATCCGTATGGCAACTATTTGCACAGCTGCAGGAATGGCGCGGAGCATGAGCACTGGAAAAAGTCCCGAAGAACACGGAGAACTATAATAAATGCGCGATTATGTCAAACACAAGTTATAAACTAAACTATAGTGGAAATCCACTGCAAAAAAGTTATAATAGAAGCCACTTACCGTGATCTCACCACCTCAACCCCCTATTTGTGTTCTGAAGAGTATATCCTACTAGTAGGAATTGGTTAGTCCTCAGTTCATGGGGAGATTCATTCACAAAAATCCCGATGATAGCAAACAGTCGCGCGTCCCCGTATTCGCGTATTTTTTTCGCTCGAACCAATATCGTCAGACTTTTTATTCCCAAGAACGCAGCGGAGTTTGTGTTTTGCTGTTAAACCGCTAATTATGGCAAAAAAAGAGAGTAATAAGTTCCAGAATCCAACAAAATGCGCCGAGTTTTATAGAAGAAAACAAGCATAAAAACGCTGAAGACTTTTTCAAGAAGAAGCGTTGCGGTTCGCAAGTTGAATGTTTGGCTGCATGGCACACACTGTGCTGCTTTCAAGTTTTTCAGCTCTTGTTTTTTTCTTCTTTCCGGAGAGGAGGTCGGGTTTATGCTGTAAATGGCGTCATGTGGAAGTGAAGGGGGTGAACAGAGTAGCTGTTGTCCCAGAGGATATATCGTATCCGGTCCCAGCTCATTGGCTCTAAAGGACTCAACATTCACTCCCTGTGTGTGTGTGTGTGTGTGTGTGTGTGTGTGTGTGTGTGTGTGTGTGTGTGTGTGTGTGTGTGTGTGTGTGTGTGTGTGTGTGTGTGTGTGTGTGTGTGTGTGTGTGTGTGTGTGTGTGTGTGTGTGTGTGTGTGTGTGTGTGTGTGTGTGTGTGTCAGAACACACGGACGTCCGATTCATTTTAGCTGCTCGGTTGACTCGAACATTTTGGTTCACTGGACCAATTCAAAGAGCCGACTCACAAATTCGTTGTGACATTTACAGTGACTTTTTAAGCAGCATTTTTGATTAGGCTTGATTGTGCACAATGTCGTGCAGTTTATTATGCAAATTATTTAATGACTTTAAAACATTCTGTCAGGTACTTTTGATAAAATCAAAGTTATTTTTTAAAACGAGCTAAATGTCAGCGACATTAAAGACATTTCAAACAAATAAAAACGACAAATTACGACTACTGAAAAACTTTATGAACTTAAAGTGATCATAAAAAAACCCAAATAGATTGCTTTTGCTATTCTTAAATTAAAGCACACTTTAAGACTTGTCTGTAATAACAATAACACAAATAATAATACTAATATTAACAATAATTGCAACAATAATGATGATAATTATAATAATAATATTAATGATAATAATACAAATATTAATAATAATAGTATCAATAAATGCAACGATGATGATGATAATAATAATAATACTAATAATAATAGTAACAACAACAACAACAATAATAATGATAATAATAACAATAATAATATTATTAATTTTATTATTTATATTATTATTATTATTATTATTATTATTGTAAATATGTATAATAATTAGGGTTCTATATTAAAACTAATAATATAAATAGCAACAAGAACAATACTGTTTTTAACATTAGCTTTCATTTCACACTTTTCCATCACAATCAAAATGAACTTTATAGTGTGCTAAACGGTTCAACAGAATTGTTCAAATGAATCAATTCATTCAAAAGTTCATTCGCGAGTCAGAAATCACCAAGGAGAAACATGCCTCTATTTTTATGGCCTAAATGTTTGCAGATGAAAGCTTATCTGTTGCTCAACCACTATTATATTACAGTACAGACTTGTGCTTAAAATCTCAACTCACTTATACTCTGTTTGAAGGTATTTCAAAAGTACATTTTGTAAGTAGGAGTTTAACTTGCAACGAGTTCAAAAGTTCTGTTCTTAATATCGAATCATCTGAATTGTGCAGCTGTTGTCTTGTCATTATGTATTTGTTTCAAGTCTTTTATTTTCTGACTTTTAATTCATATTGCAGTTTACATGATTCACCTGATCCTCAGTTTCTCATAATACATAAAGTTAAAATAATAATAATAATGATAATAATAATAATGATAATAATAATAATATACACAGCATGTCATATTAAATTTAACCCAATGAAAAAAAGAAGAAGAAAAAAACAGTTTGGGTCTGTTACTGCTCTCTAGTGGCATGAGAAGCTAAAACAACTGCTTTACTTCCAGTGTACACTACCTGACAAAAGTCTTGTCGCCTATATTAGTATTTAGAACAACAAATAATAACTTGACTTCTAGTTGATCATTTGGTATCAGAAGTGGCTTATATGAAAGGCAAAGACCTCTAGATTACGCTTATTTTACCAAAATAAAATATGATCATGCCTTGATTTTTAATTATTTAATTGGGGCAGTAAGGTCTGACTTTGCTTTGACAAAAGTCTTGTCACTGAACAGAAATAATGTCCAGTATAGAATTTAAAGTCATGCTGCAGTGGAAAAGAAAAGCAAAAAAAGCGTTCTTGCAGGACTCCCAGAGTTCATCAAGATTCTTTGATGTATCTTCAATGCCTCCTCCTCCATCTAACCCCAGACTTTCTCAATGATGTTTATATCTGGTGACTGGGCTGGCCAATCCTGGAGCACCTTGACCTTCTTTGCTTTTAGGAACTTTAATGTGGATGCTGAAGTATAAAAAGGAGTGCTATCCTGCTGAAGAATTGTCCCTCTCCTGTGGTTTGTAATGTGATGGGCAGCACAAATGTCTTGATACCTCTCTGCAGATCTCTCGCATGTCCCCATACTGAATGTTACCCCAAACCATGTTTTTTTTTCTTCACCAAACTTGACTGATTTATGTGAGAATATTGAGTCCTTGCGGGTTCCAATAGGTCTTCTGCAGTATTTGTGATGACTGAGATGCAGTTCAACAGATGATTCATCTGAATATTCTACCTTCTGCCACTTTACCAAATGATCAACTAGAAGTCCAGTTATTATTTGTTGCTTTTAATTGATTTTATTTTATTTTATTTTTTGCTTACTTTTGTTTGTTCATTCATTTGTTCTTTCTTTCTTTCTTTCTTAGGAAAAAAGTAAAAAATTTAACCATCAAACACACACTAAGTTTTTAGGAATAAGCTTTGATATAAAATAAAAAAAATGAATATACTCATATTTAATTCTGAATGAATAACTCTTATATTTTCTTCTGACATTTGTAGTGAATAAAAGCTCAATTTTCAAATAATCAAAACAATAACTAGATAAAAAATACTATGGTCAAATAATACAAATCTAAAAAACAACAACAAATAATGCCAAAATGTGCTCTCTGACTAATAAAATACTTGATTTTTTTTTTTTTTTACCAAACTTGACAGATTTCTGTTAGAATCTTGGGTCCATGTGGGTTCCAACAGGTCTTATGTATGTTTGATTATTGGGATGCAGTTCAAATCTACCTTCTGCCACTTTTCCAAATGATCCACAAGAAGTCAAGTTATTTTTTGTTGCTTTTATAACTGGGATCGACGTCAAAACTTTTGTCAGGTAGTGTAGGTTTACAGTTTAAACCAGAAGTTTACATGCAATCTAAAAAAAGGAACATAAACCTTTAAAAAAAATGTCTGATGGTAAATTAAACTAAACGTTTAATATTTTAGGTACGTAATGATTATCTAAATCATTTACATTTGCTAAATGCCAGAATAATAAGATTTTTTTGTGTGAATTTTTATAAATTTCTAGACTAAGTTTACATAAACTTCCTTGGAGTTTTTTGCTTTTTTAGCTTTGCTTTTAAACTGTATAACTTTGGTCAAACGTTTTGAGCATCCTTCCACAAGCTTCTCACAATAGTTTGCAGGAATTTTGGCCCATTCCTGTATTTCCTGAAAGAATAATGTAACTGAATCAGATTTGTAGGCTGTCTTGCTAGCACAAGCGTTTTCAACTCAAATTTTCAAATTTTCTATTGGATTGAGATCAGGGCTTTGTGATGGCCACTCCAAAACACTCACTCTGTTGTCGTTAAAGCACATTTGAACTAATTTAGCAGTATGCTCAGGGTCATGGTCTGTTGGGAAGACCCATTTGTGGCCAAGTTTTAATTTCCTGGCTGATGTCTTGAGATGTTGGTTTAGTATTTCTACATAATGTTCTTTCCTCATGATGCCATCTATGCTGTAATGTGGACCAGTCCCTCACAGCTTAGATGGTGTTTCTAGGCTTGTAAGCTTTTCCCTCTGTCCTCCAAATGTAACATTAATCAATATGGCCAAACAGTTCAATCTTAGTTCCATCCGACCCGAGGACATGTCTCCAAAAATTAGTCTTTTTTCCCAGTATTATTTAGCAAATTGTAATCTGGCTGTTTTGTTGATTCTGGCTTGTCGGTTTTCCCATGTTGTCACACAGGGAAGCAGTGTGTTTGAGGTTTTCCTTAAATACTATTCTTTAGTTGTGCCTCCAATTAACTCAAATGTTGTCAATTAGCCAATCAGAAACTTCCAAAACCTTGACACCATCATCTGAGCTTTTTCAGAGGCAGAATAATCTTATTGTATGTAAACTTGACTTTCAAGAAAAGTTATAACAGTTTCTCAAAAAATATCTCATTATTCTGCTATTAAGCAAATTTGATAATCCTAACTTAGCTAAAAGAGAAAAAGTTTAGTCACATTAACATCTGACCCTTTTTAAATGGTTATATGCCTTTTTATTCAGTCTGTAAACGTCTGGTTTCAACTGTATACTATGAATTATCACCAGAATTACATATTAAAATGCGTAAAAACAACAGTTCAACATAAATAAAATCAAGCAAACCCATTTCGCATTGACGCCAATCTTAAAAACAGAACTAAATATAATTTAATTGTTAAATATAATGAAAAGCATGTCAAAGTGAATCTACAAAAGCCAACAAGCTCTGATCTGTGGTTAAATCCGATCTTGCAGCGATGATGGATGAAAGACACCAAAGCAACAAGTTTACTTAGCATGGAAATAGCCTCCACACAAAAGCCACTTTCTAATGCATGGACCATTGTGGGCTAATAGGAAGTGCTCCCCCAGGAGAATGCAGGCTTCTTCTGGTTCCCCCTTGACACATTGTCTGTCTGTCTCTCTAGCAACTTTTCTTTTAAAAGGCAATAACAGGCAAGGCTGCTTCTGTGTTATCAGGAGGAGGGGGTGAACAAATGCACCTTTAGGTGGCCTCGAATGAACACGGAGAGTCAAAGAGGAAATGAGCGGAGAGTGAGCGAGTTCCCAAACCCATGAGACTCCACCATCTCCAGCTGAGCGGGCCCTATTGTTCGGGGCCTCCTTTTCACCAGCCAAAGGTGAAAAGGTAACTGACAGGGGGCTTTGTGCCTGGTCATGGGGACTCCCATTGCCCAAGAACGCCCAGATTCCCTTGGTCACACATTGTCAATGGGCTCCGTGAGGAAGTGGGAGAAGGGGGTTGGATGGGGATTCAGGGGGAAAGGCTTTTAGAGTGAGACACGTAACGAATACTTGGGTGAGTCTTGTGAAGGCTGACTGGGCTGTATATGAGAAATCACATGTTGCATACAGAATATTCACACCTCTCTTTATTAATTATTTGATTTAGCAAAAGCGGGAAAAATATGATTTTTTTCTTTCCTTTCTTCT